CGCAGCTCACTGTGTAGCTGCTGATCAGTCCACATCACACTCCCAAGGTAATCGAAGCGGGTGGTGGTTTCCAATACTTCAGCACCAATGCTGATTCGCGGCAATATTGAAGATTGCACCTCCGGTGAAGGCTGAAAGAGACAGACAGTTTTGCTTGTGTTGATGGTGTGGCCGAATTTGGCCGCTGTCGAAGCCAGAGCACTAGTCATGTGCTGCAACTCATCCGCGCTGTGTGCAAACAACGCACAGTCGTCAGCAAACAGCAACATACGGATAGTTGTCTCACAGACTAGAGTTCTCGCACAGAAACGACGGATGTTCAGCAACCCACCATCAATACGGTGCTCCACACGAACACGGTAAGCACAAACGGCATCAAAAGCACAAGACATCATTGCACGAAGATAAATATTAAACAGGGCAGGAGCTAAGACACAGCCTTGCTTCACACCAGAGACAACTGCAAAGTCATCAGAGGTCTCTCCACTCAGCTGCACCCTCGCTCGCATACCACTGTGCAGACATTCAATTAAACTTACAAACTTACGCGGGCAACCAAACTTACCCAACATCAGCCACAATGCCTCGCGGTTCACCGTATCAAATGCCTTGGTGAAATCAATAAAAAGCGAGTACAATGGCTGGTGTCGTTCTCTGCACTTCTCTTGCAACTGACGAGCCGCAAACACCATATCTATAGTGCTGCGACCCGAACGGAATCCGCATTGCTCTTCCGCCACGTTAGGTTCCACAACCTGACTGACGAGGCGGTTGAGCAGGATTCGGGCAATCACCTTGCTCACACAACTCAGCAAGTTGATACCACGATAATTCGTGCAACATTGCTTGCTACCTTTGCCCTTGTACAGTGATAGCACAAGGGCATCCTTCAGCTCAGGAGGCACCTCCTCCTCAATCCATGCACGTTGCACCAAGTGGTGCAGCGCAGTCAACAACGCGGGTCCGCCGTGTTTCAATACTTCAGGCGGGATCCCGTCGGCCCCGGCACACTTACCGTTTCGCAGCTGAGCAAGTACTCTCTGCGTCTCATCCAGTGTCGGCGTGTCCGCCAGATTCGCCTTCACATCGTGCTGCTTCAGGCCGTTCAGTGTAGGCCAGTCGATCTCTGAACGGTTGTTCAAGAGACAGTCAAAGTGTTTTCGCCAGATCTGCATTATGTCTGCAGTCTGTGTGCAGGTAACGCCTGAACTACCATCGATCAGCGTCCTCAGCGGCTCCAATCTCGGTCCATACACCGCCTTCAAGGAGTCAAAGAATTCCTTGTGTTGGCGGCGTTCGGCGTAGCATTCTATCTGCTTCGCCTTCTCCGTCCACCATGCATTTTTTATGCGACGGAGCTCTCGGGTCAGTCGCCGTCGAAGCTTGCGAAACTGACTACTCTTTCCCAAGTCACTGGGGTCTGCAACATGTGCAGCAAATGCTGCATTCTTCTCCGACACCAATGCGCCAATCGTCGCATTGTTGTCATCAAACCAATCAGGCCGCTTACAGTTTGCGCGCCCGATGGTCTCCTCGGCAGCAGCTGTCACCTGGTCGCGAATGTGGTGCCACAGGTCGCCCACTGTGGCTATGCAGTCCACATCACACAGGCGTGCAGCCATCGCCTTCTCCAGCTCAGTACGTTTCGCCACAGTACCGAGGGAGAGAATGTTAAATTTACGCCGATTCACGGCGGGAGTGCAATACATAGATTTAGGAAAATATATGTACAGTTTGGTCCGAACCAATTTGTGATCAGTGCCACACTCAGCTCCACGCAGTACACGTGTCATGCGCACTTCACGCATATCACGCTGACGTACGATGACATAGTCGAGCAGGTGAGCGTGACCACTCCGTGGGTGCGTCCAAGTTGCTATATCACTCGCACTCAGTGCAAACCGAGTGTTCGTGATCGTCAGGCCGTGAGTGGCACACAATGAGAGCAGCCTGTCACCGTTCGCATTCGCTGAACCAATGCCATGCGCACCGATAACATCTGTCCACGCTGATGCATCACGCCCAACGCGCGCGTTGAAATCACCCAGCAGAAATAGTCGGTCGCTCCTCGGCACAGACCGTATCACGGAGGATAGCTCAGTGTAGAATTGATCACGCGTGTCATCAGGATAACACATGGTCGGACCGTACGTGCTTATAAAAGTGGCAAACTTACCTCTTCCGAGTCGTAGGCGAACAGTCATCAGTCGCGCGCTGATGCCCGTTGGTTCACCCACCAGCTGGCCATGGAGGCGATCGGATATTGCAAATCCGACCCCATGTTCACGTGGTGCTGAGGCGGCGTTGCTCACCCAGTAGAATGTGTAGCCAGCACCTGCTTCATGCAACTTACCTTGCTCAGCGAGCCGGGTTTCACTGAGCGCCGCAATATCGATGTGGTAGCGCGCCAGCTCCATCGCGACCAGTGCAGTGCGTCGCTCCGGGCGCTCGCTGGAGTTCCGGTCCAGTAGTGTGCGCACGTTCCAGCACCCGATGCTGAGTGCTTTGCGCGCAGGCATACGATTGCATTGGTGGGCAATCGCACGCGAGGTGGTCGTTGTGCTTCGGAGGTTTGCTTGAGGGACTCCGCCGGAGCCTTTGGCTCAATAGCCTGACCCACAAGGCAGTGGGGAGCAGATCCAGCTCAGGAATGTGATTGCAGAGACAGATTGGGATCTGCTTGACGGCCGTCACACGCAGCCTTTGAGGTACTGGAACGATTTATATATGTTTTGCGACCGTAGTAGGATACGCACCTGCGACCACGGCCAGACGCAGGTGGGTTTTGGCGGGTTTGCACCAATTTGACCAGGGGCTGCCTGGCTTGAGGCGGGCAGTAGCAAATCATTGAACACCCGGAGGTGTCCTCCCACCGTCAGAGACAATGCGTGGCGCTCGTGCTCTACGCCAATCGAGCTGTGAGCTTATAACCCGTAGACCTGTTGTCTCCCATGGCTAGGTTTTACGGGAAGTGGGCCATCGACCACTTCCTAACCTCCGAAGAGGATGGACTAGGATACTGCCAGGGCGCCCACACCTGACAGGAGAACGACTCGGGTCCTCAGCCAAAGCCTTCGATTAAATGAACACCCGAAAGGCAGCGGGTCTAGCACATGGTCAGTTCACTGACTCATGCGGATTGGTGTCCTGGATCTTAGCAGGGAGAAGGGCGAAACCCAACTCCCACCCAGCGGTCGCCACGAGGAGGCGCCCAGGATATGAGCAAATGGCACAACAGTAGCAGCAGTGGGTAGACCATCTGTCAGGATCTAGCCACCACCAGCTTCAGCGCATCAGATATATATATATATATATATATATATATATATATATATATATATTGCTGTGATGTCGCCAACAAGATCGTGTGGAGCAGAGATATGGCCATGGCAGAGGACTGTTTTTTTAACCATGGGAGATGAAACGCCTTAATAAATCCTCTAACGCTAGTTAGCGGGTGACGCTGAAGCCAGTGCGCTGGTGTTTAAAAACGAGCCTAAGTTTAAATGAATTACCTGATGTACCGGTACAACTTGCCACAAAAAGTGCAGTTTCTTTCGACAAGCTGAGATCAAGCAAAATGTGTAGATAAAAAGAACGGTGTGGCAAAGAAGCGACCCGCTGGGGTCCACACAGGGCTAACAATCGTGCCGACATACATGTCGTGCCCACACAGAATGATGTAAAATACTCTGATATCAAATTAATGTCAAAGTGCTGATAATCGGTGAACCTTGTTCAGGAAACATATCAGTTACATGACTGTGAGGTACAACGCAGGAATTTTGTGCGCATTCATTCAGCGAGTTCGGCAAATGTTTTACGGATTTAACGAAAATAGCAAAATAGCACTGACGAAGAATGCTAATCAAGAAGGCTCATACTGTTGCGCAGCAGTGACGCATCCGACCAAATGCAAGCACCAGAGAGCTACTGACACAGCGGAGTGAGAATCATGCACCCACCTTTTTCGTTAAATCTTCTTTCCAATTAAGAAACTTGGTGCTACGGAAATTCAAAGTTCGAACCCCAGAGTTGTAGGTGGCGGAGGGGTAACAGGCGGCAGTGGCAAGAGTAGCTGACAGTGTTGCGTAGGAAATTTTGCGGGAAGTGCCACCTGGAAAGATACGTAAACGAATTGGACCAAACCTCTGTATCCCATGATGACACCACCCAAACCACATAGAGTTATGAAGCCGCCACGAGCCAGAATGATGGGCTCATCTCGAATCCGTTGGTAAATGGCTGGAAGAAACTGCTTTTAGCCAAGACAGGAGCTACATTTGCTGGTAATTGACGCTTGGGTCACCTTTTGCTCCGTAGATTGCTGCATCCAGTTGATGTCTTAGCTTGAATGACTTACCTCAAAACATGCAAACCACTTCTGGAACTGCACTCTCACAGGTTTTATGAATTTGATGAGCTTCGACTGAATAAAGCCCTCGGGTCTAACCTCCAGCCGATATTCCACATTGTTTTCAGGATACTCGGAATAGATTGGGAGCTAGCAAAATAACATGAAACGCACCTACTCACGTCCTCGACCTTCATCACTGTTGGAAGCAAGCCACCGCTCGCAGTGTAGGTAACGTAGCGTGCAATCAGTTGAAATAGTGCCAAAGAACTAAAAAGGAGAGGGAAATTATGCGTCCTCGAGTAGCGATGCAACACAGTAAGGCAGTAAAGGCATCAACAGTACACCGAGACACCGTTCGTCGCAACGAGAGTGGATCTTGATGTGAACGACGGTCTGTGTACAACTTGGGCCAAATGAGCTAGATTAAATGGCGGACTAGGGTCTCTTTAGAGTTACACCAATCAGGCCGATTAATGGTTAGAGGTCAGACGAACTCAATTTTCTGGTCTCCCAGTTAGAGGTTCGAAAGGTGGTGGAGGCCGTTTCTGCAAAATCGCTGCATAGTGGGCAGGCTTTCCAGCCAAGAGTTTAGTTTGAAGATCCTAATCGTCCTGTTGTCTGGATTTTGGCGCCCTGGCTGTAGCTCAACCCACGGACAACCATAACCATTTCGTCAAACTTCAAGGACATCCTGCATCACCCGTTGCAAAGCTTTACAAGGGTCGCCTAAAATGCTGCATACAGCTTGGCAGATAAGCGAACACATGTTACTGTTGCTGTCTCCTTCTGTTAACACGGGTCTACCTTACTCTACCACTACGCCCACTACTAAACCCCATTCTGTAGTTATTGACTTAGTTGACAGCCGCTGCAATATCACTGGAGCTCTGCCATGTGCAGCTGTTTCCGCACCATCCACTGGACGCCTATCGACAACATCCATTTACAAGGCCATGCTATCCCGTTTACACGACTGCGTTCAACATTCGTATCCCAAGACAAACATGTCAACAGGTTGCACTCCCGCGCAGGTTGGAGAAACTGGGTATCGATGTGTATTGCGTGCCGGAAAATGGGTTCGAGGAACCTCACAGCGTCCTTGGACTAGCTGAGCCCAGATTGTCCTCTCTTTATTGGTTACACGCGTCCGATGCTGAGATAGGCATCGCTCTCAGCTCCAAAGCCGAATCATCGTTGGTTGGTTGGATTCTGGTGAACAGCCGTTCGTTTGCAGCTCGTCTGACGACACCATGTAGCGTTAAGTCGCGAAGTATTACTCATCATCATCAACAGCAGTACATCAGCCATTTGAACTGATGCGTCGCTGCCATACAACCATGAGGACCTATGAAATAAAGAATAAGAAGAGGGAGAGAAGGGGGGCTTACCTGAAAACCTTAATGCCCTAAGCAAACATTCAGCGTCAAGGCGCCTACACCTTGTGTAGACAACATACCGTCACAAACAGCTGGCTATCGTGCAAAGATAAGGCGGCATCGGCGAGACAGCTTCCTTGCGGCTTTCACTGCCACGCGTCATAATCAGCCATTACCCCGCAGATAACTCAGCACCAAACACACTTTAAACAGACAATCCGATTAGGAGACGGCAGCAGACGCGCCACTGGTGTCGGTTACGAGCCATGTCCTGTAAAGTCTCGAGCCAAGCACAAGGTGAGTCACGTGGACTCCAACCCGGAAGGCGAGACGGACCAACGGCACCCAGTTTGGTCGTCAGTGACTTCATTTCCCGTTGCCAAGTCAACTTCTGTCCTCCTCGAGCCTTGCGCCATCCTACACCTGGTAGACTGAACAAGGCCCTCCTAGGTAAGCGGTGACCAGGCATGCGTAGCACGTGCCCGAGCCAACGTAACTTATTCAGTGCTATCTGTAGTTCTAGGGAGCTAGCATGATCATCACCACCTAGTACTCGCCTACGCACATCATCGTTGCGGACACGCTGGTGCCATCCGACCCCAGCAATGCTTCGCAAACAACGATGATCAAAGACCGTAGAAGGCAGATGATCAAAGACTTGAAGGCGCCTCAGATCTTAAGACCGAAGGGGCCAAGTTTCACTACCATACAGCAGAACGGCCCTCACTGTGGCCTTGTATACACGGCCTTTCAGACGGAGGGAAACTCCCTTCTGTCGCCAAAGATGACGCAGGTTCAAGAAGGCAGCTCTGGCCTTTGCAATGCGTGAGCTCACGTCAGTTTCTATGCGCCCATCATTGCTGATGCGGCTGCCAAGATAAGTGAATTGATCAACCACCTCGAGTTCCACGTTAGCAAGCGTCAAGGGGTCATCGAGTGGCTGGTGGTCCTGCTGCAACACTTTGCACTTTGAAGGTGCGAAGTGCATACCAACTAATGGGACCACTCTGGATAGGCTATTCGGGGTTGATTGTGCCGCCTCAACATTGTCGAAAAGCAAGACGATATCGTCCGCATAAGCCAGATCAACTAACCTTACACCAGGCAGCACGCCAAAGCATACGTCGTGAGATTCCGCAAGGGAACACTCCATGATAGAATCCACGACGAAATTGAACAAAAACGGGGAAATCGGGCAACCCTGTCGAACGCCACTTGTAGTCGAAAAGCTATCCGATAGGGCACCATAGACCCTGACGCGGCCTCTAGTGTTCGAGTATAGAGCACGAAGGATGTTCACATATTTCGTGGGAACACCTTTCCGCGCAAGTATTTCGAACAGAATCGATCGATCGACTGAATCGAACGCACTCTTGAAATCGAGGAACACAGCTATTGTCGGTCTGCGGTATGCGTGGCGCTGCTCTAGCACCTGCCGCAAAGTAAATATATGGTCTATACAGCCATGTCCTGGGCGAAAACCGGCCTGCTCTTCTCTAATCCGAGATTCCCGTTCCGCAGTGAGGCGACGATCGACAATCGAGGCCAGTAAGTTTGTCACAACTGGCGTTAGGCTAATACCCCTGTGGTTCGCACAGTCTGTGCGACTGCCCTTCTTGTATATTGCCACTACAATCGATTCGCTCCAATTAGCCGGCACACTCTCTTCGTTCCAGATACGTTCGAATAGGGAGATCAGTGCTTTGCAGAGGACCTCACCTCCATCCTTAAATAGTGCAGGTGGTAGGGAATCCGGGCCAGCGGCACGAAAACGATTGAGGGCTGTGATCGCGTTTCGGACCTCGGCCTCCGACGGAGGCTCTAAACTAACCGTCCATGGCTCGTCCTGCATCACCTGAGTAGGAAGAGGTCCGGGAGCAGGGGGCCAGCTGAACTGATGTTCAAAGTGCTCAGCCCAACGAGCCATACGGCGCTCCTTATTGTGTATCAGCGCACCCGCGCTGTCCCTGATTGTCTCGCTGACGCCTGGTTTTCTCGGACCAGTGGTGCGTATTAGCTGGAAGAGCTTCCGGTAATTGCCTACTGCTCCTGCCTCCTCCATTTCTTGAGTCCGACTGGTCCACCAGGCTTCCTTGTCAGCACGTAGGCTCCGTTTTAGTTCACGCCTAATAGCCCGTCTGGTCACATTGTGTTCAGAACCAGCCGGGAGGTGCCTTCTAGCTTCCAAAAGGTTCACGGACCTCTCGGATATCCAGTGACTGGTGCGATGACGACTGATAGTGCCACAAGCAGATGCTCCTGCGTCGTGCATAGTGGCCGAGATCCTATTCCACTGAAGTTCAGTATCATTAGGACAAGACAGCGAGAGTTCGCTATGCAGTGCTTCTTGATAGGCTTGCCTGACAGAGGGCTGGGACAATTTCTCCGTTGCCAATCGGGGGAGACGCTTTGTGTGCCTTCCGGTAAAGTTCATGGGAAACGACAGCGCACCAAGGCATGGTCAGAGTCGACACAGGTACTCCAGTACGAGCGGCAATCCAGAATGGAACCGCGCCACCTGTAACTTATGGCTATGTGGTCAATTTGGGTCCATCGCTGACCAGCTACAGGTGGACGCCAAGTGGCACTTCGGCGCCCACTGTGTCTAAAAGCAGTGCTAGTAAGAAACAACTGGTGCTCCGCACACAGTTGCAGCAGACGCTCGCCGTTGTCAGTCCGTTCGGCGTTAAGTCCATACTTACCACCCAGCTGAGCTTCTGAAGAGCTCAGACGCCCTACTTGTGCGTTCATATCCCCTGCAAGTACTATAATATCTGAACTAGTAGCACTGCGTAGCAGCGTGTTCAGTTCGTGATAGAAAGTGTCCTTGACTGCATTAGAACTGCAGTCGGTGGGAGCATAAGAAGAAATCACAAACAAACAGCGTTTTGCTTTACTTCGCGAATTCACCTTAGCTGATGTCGTCAAACGGGCTGCACATAAACGGCTGTTCACCGGAATCCAATCAACCAATGATGACTCAGCCTTGGAGCTGAGAATGATACCTACACCAGCTTGACCCGTGAGTGTCGCATCGGCGTCTCCGGATGCGTGCAACCAATAACGAGAGGATAAGCCGGGTGCAGTCAATTCAATAACCCCGTTAGGGTCATTAATCCTAGTTTCGGACA